AAACATGATCATATACAAACTCATATGTAGAACATGTCTGTAATGGTAGAACTGCTCTATGGAACTCGGGGAAAAAGGAAAAGGAAAAGCAAATGATAGAGCATCAGCAATATCACGTAAGATGTGAAGGTAGAGGATATGAGGATGTGCATTAAAAGTTATTGAAAAATGGGAGGTGGGAGGTAAAGAAGTAAGGGAGAGTAATGGAAGGGGTTGAATAGACCAAAGTAAAGTATACCCACAGCAGGGATACATTGAGACAATCCTGTGAAAATCAACTTAAATATTAATAATGAAAACTAGGACTATAAAATAGGTATAGTATATGTGTGTGTAGGTGGGTATTAGTGGGAGGGAGAATGGTGAAGGAAGGAGATTAAGGTGACATATATGGCAGATGGACTTCATATACCTATATGAAATAGAACTAAGAAACCTCTTGCTATTGCTTTAAGCGCAGGGGTAGGGAGGGGACTGAGGGGGAGAGACAATGGAGGCAATGTAACTAATGTACAATATAAGTGTAATCAGAATTGTCACTACAAATTCCCCCTGCATAATGAATATATCCTAATAAAAATTTATTATAAAAATGCAGTCACAAGGGGAGGGTCTGAGGCCCAATGCACATGGCCTTCCCCTGGACCCTCTCTGGAAACTTGCAGCACCTTCAAGAAACCTCCATACAGTAGCATAAAGGGTAAGTGAGACCCTTCCTGGTCTGAAACCCCACAGCTCTGCAATGTCCTCTTCAGCCTAGGGAAGCTCCAAAACCCCTCCGTGGATGAATGGTTCCTGAAGCAAAGCTGCCAAGCCCACATTGAGAGGGAGAGCTTACATCTGTGAAAGAGGGAAGTTGAGGTAGGTGGAGAAATACTTACGTTCAGAAGGGGAGAGAGGCTGGCTAATTGAAAAATGTAACTTAAAGCCTCTCATTATAAGAGACCTCTATTTACTCCTTAGACTTTCCACCATTGTAAAGAATCAAGAAGTTAGTATTTCAGATCTGCCTCACATCTTTGCTGAGGACCAAGGAAAACAGTAGCCATGGCCTGGAGCTAAGAAAAAAGGTTCAACCAAAGAAGTCACTTCTTGACAGGCCTGATCCTTAGGTCCTGGAAAATACAAAGTGAAAATGGGAGAGATCATTCCTAAAAAACTCCCCAAAATGCACAGAGCTGAGGCTTAGCTGATTTCCATTTCCTCTCCCAGCTGCCTTTTTTTTTTCCCTCCATGCTGGGGATTTACCCCTGGGTCATGTATATACTAAGCTTAAGCTCTATCTCTGAGCTATGTGCTCAGTCTCTCAGCTCTCTTTTCTAACTCCTTTCTTTCCTTTGCTTCTTTTGTTTTGATTTATTTTCAGATAATCATTTCTTTATGCTCTTGAGGTTGGACTGGCATTATAAGATCAGAGAGATAAGACAATTAAGTAACTTGCTCAAGGTCATGAGGTAATTGAGAGGTGTAATAGGAAATATTCAGATGTATTAAATAAAGGATGACCCCATCAAGTCTCCAGGGGACACACTAAAGGAAAGATGAGGTAAACAAAGCATACAAAAAGTCAACCACTTGGTTTTTCCTTCCAAAACTTAAACTTAAAGCATGCATACAGCCTTCTGACTGACAAGAGCTGTGTTTTACCTCAAAAGACTAAAGGCTGGAAGAAGCAGAGAACTTTGAAACAAAGAGGGAGCAAGTAGATCCTGTCCTCACCTCCCACCCTCCTCCACTCCCTGAATGAACACACACACACACACACACACACACACACACACACACACACACAGTGACGATCAACTTTGGGGCTCCAAGAAGTGAAATTCTATGAAGGAGAAGAACAGGTGAAAGTAGGGGAGTTCCTAAGGAAGGTTCTGCTCACCACAATTCTCCTCACCTCTGACCAGTTCTGAGTCCTGTATTGGGAAGCAGCAATCTTGAAAACCAAGACAGGGGTAGAGTCCCCACTGAGACCTGTGCTACCAACAGGAAAGCCCCTGTAAGACAAGTCTGAGACAAATGTCATGTGTGTAACAGAAATGGATGCAGTCAGACCCATGAAGAGGAGACTTGAAGTTCCAACCTTCCTTAGCCTTCTTGATGCCAGAAAATCATGGAAGGGAGACTTCATGTTTTCTGTGCCTTTGAGTAGGACCACAGAACTTGTAAAATGAGATAACGATGAAAATAGGCTACTTATAAGTCTTGTGGCATCTTGAACATACCTGCATTTGTGAGACTATGAAATGTCATTTCTGCAAGAAGCAAGAGTGCTGCTGACACAGTCCAGAGCCATGAAGAGTCTCACAGTGGCAGACACAACTGATACCACATTCAGGCTTGCAGCTTCTAGAAGGGACTGCTGACAGGTAAGGAAGGTAGCTTCACGTTCGACTCTTCCTCCTCCCTACCTCTATCCCCTACACCTGAAAGTTGCCCTTCATCTCTCTTCTCAGTTCTCCTTTATTCCTTCCCTCTTTTTTGTTCCAACTACAACCTCAACCTACCCTCTTTGCCTGGCATGAATCACTGTGAGAGGTGGCATGAACAAAAGAAAAATATCAGCCTTCCCTTGATCAAATTTGTCCAGGTAAACCATTTCATTTCACTTCATTTGATGACCCTGGGGAATCATCAAAGCCCTCATTGTGTATAACATGGTCTTATCTTCCAAAGACACATTGATCAAATCCATATTAAATAGTTGAATATTATATCCTAATGCGGGTTGTACCTTCCTCTATTTGGACACGTAGTAAGTTACAGCCATTCAGTCTCACCATTAGCAGGCAGTTTCTGCTCTGCTTCATGGTTACATGAAAATCTTGCTATAAGACAGAGCCTACAAGTAGGAATGTTAGAAAAAAAGGCCAGTCTTGGAAACCCATGGAAACAGTTTTCACCAAGTGTGAGCCACTGATAGTTCAAGGAATAGACTCATCCATTGCCTTCCAAGGTGATGTTTCTTAGACAGTTTCCAGATGGTCTTAGGGACTAAGCAAGGATTTCCTTGTGCCCCTTTCAGTACAGGGGCACATGATTTTCTAAAAGCAAATTGTTGACCCAATATGTAATAAAGCAAAAAGTAAGTACATAATACTGAAGGAACTGATGTAGAAATGTAATTTTAGTTATTTTGGAGTATCATTGGCATTATTTTTTAATGTTCTCTTTCTGATGTATGATGAAGTTCTTTCTTCTTCTTTGAAACTGTCTTTCAGCACTAACTTAGTAGACTAAGCTTTTGCAAATGTCTTGAAATATTTTTAAATGGCAACCTCGTTCTCACTGACCTCTCTGAATTTGGGAACAACACTTTCCTGAGTCTCTTTGGGTTTAATGGAAACGTACTTACTTCCACAGATTCAATGAGAATTTGTTTTAATTTTATCAGTGAATAATAGCCTAAAGAGACAGCAGAGTCAAGGCCATACCCGGAGTATCACATTTTAGAGAAAGTTTTATTTAGTCAGATGTGAAAGCCACCATTAAGAACAAGGGCTCTTCAATTAGAGAGACAAACAGCAATCCCCCAAAATGGGACAGTTATTTTATTATGGCAAGGGAGGAAACCTTAGCAGATATAGAGGCCCTAGAGCAGAGATTCCTTCACCTTATCTATGGAAACTACAGGTAGAACAGCAGACATAACTTTTGGTTTGGTTCCCTACTCTCAGAACAGAATAACAATAACAGCAGTATACACAATATGCCTGGAACAAGAGAGGCTACTGCAACTTCCTAAGATGACTCTTCAGAAATTACCAGACAAAAGTTAATTTTCTAGTTACTTCATGTTACATGGCTTTCAATTTTCTGACCAGACTATGAAGAGGCTAAAATGTGCTAACTTTTCTTTGTGTAATTACATAAATAAATGGGCCCCAAATGCAGTAAGATTAGTATTTGGGAAATCAAGAATCATCTTGGGAGATTACTTGTGATCATTGTGCCTCATGATTTACATTGTCTTTCTACATCCTCAGTTGAACCTCCCAAAGAGCCCTAAAACCCAATATTCCTGAAGTTACCATGACCAAACTTACACTTGAAGTCATCACCTATTTTCCCTGGAAAAGACAACATGGCTTATAAAAATGGCCAATCTCTTTTACCCTGTCAATTCTCTTCTACTGCAAATTGCTGCTGGCTGTAGAAGACATGAGTTCTTCTCTCTCTCTCTCTCTCTCTCTCTCTCTCTCTCTCTCTCTCTCTCTCTCTCTCTCACACACACACACACACACACACACACACACACACACACATGCACACACTCCAGCTTGTCCTAAGGGAAACCAGTCACAACTGAGAAAATCCAGTGCTGCAAAAGAAAATTCAAACTTCTACCTTGGGTGTCATTAAGGAAGGCTCAGAAAGGGGCAGGGATCAGTGGGACAACAAACATTACTTTCTCCATCATGAAAACATCCAAAGAAGTTGGACCTCTCCTGGCCCTCTCAGCCCTGGAGGAAACACAGTGGGCCCTGGGGAGGAATTCTCTTTCATCTGTCCCCTGGCTCTCTGTTGCACTCCAAGCAGAATGTATTAATGAAGACATGCTTTGGGGGAGAATTCTCTCCACTTTTGTGACATCAAGAAGTCTCTGTTTTGATATTTGGCCATGAGTTCAAAGGCACTGAGAGATTAGAGTTCAAGGAAATCCAAGATATACCCAAGGGCAGGCCCAGGTCTTAGATGCTGAAAAACTACCCCTCCCATCCCCTGGAAAATTTGACCTCTAAAAGAACCCAGTGGATATCTTGTTCTAACAAAATTATTATCAAAGACTCTTAGCTCTTCTATTTCTCTTAGTGATAGCCGAAGGCAATCCAGATCAGGTGCCCCTAAACAACTGGAGAACTTACTTGCCAAGTGAGCCCATTTCCCCAGTGTGGGCTCAAACAGCTCTGTTGAATGTTGAGACAAAGCTTGGCCAGGCCAACATATCCTAACCACCCAACCCCACTTCAGAAAGTTTCCTGAGATTCTCCACTTACCATTCTTCTCTGCCTTGGGTTTTGGTGGCTCAGGCTCTGGGAGACATGGACAGGGCCCATCACAGAGGCTGCTGAGGCTTTTCCCTGTAGAACAAGCATGGAACTCCAACTTGCACTGCAAGAGAGAGACAGAATAGGTTGTAAGAACATAGCCAGCACAGACTTCTTACTCAGCTCCAGCAAGGGCTGGAGCCCTTGCTTTGCGGGAGCAAAGATGGAGAAGGGAATAGTCCATCTGAGTTAAGGGTGTGAAGTACAGAATACTAAATAAGAAGTGGTCTTTCATGTTTTTCCAAATGTGCAGGATAACTTCGAAAACACAGAGGAAGCACTGGAAAGCTTGTTATAATGAATGGTACGCTTGACTGTCAGTACTGATAGGATTATTGATGAAATTTCACACCTGTAGAGGCCTATATGGTCCTTGAAGCTCTCCCATGTCACTACAGAAGGCTGCTTTCCCACACTTCCTCCCACGTACAGGAAGATCTGCTTGGAGAACACTCTTAGCAGTCTGCTCACACTCTCTTCTGTAAGTTAGGATGGTATATCCAACACTCTGTTCCTTCCCCTTGGAAGCAATATGGAGCACACATGTTTTTCCTTCCACTACCTCAAACCTAAGTTTCCACTCATCTTCACCAGCTGGAGGATGCCCATGGCTGTGTAACTAGCCTGTGTTTTGGTGAAAATGTTTACCTAATTCCATAGCTCAGTATTAGAGGCCAATAAGCTGTAATCTCCTGTCACCTTTTATCAGCAACAATAATATTTTGGTCCCCTTCTAGCGTTTTACTTTTTAAGTTTCAGTAGACTCAGACCATAAATGGGAGAGGGGGGTGGTATTTATAGGAGTAATAGACTATAACAGTTACCAGCAATTTTTTTATTGCTACATTAAAGAAGAAGAAATGACTTAGAGACTCAGAGAGGTTAACTTGTGAAAGTCCATGGGCTCATTTAAATGTTTGACTCTAGGACTAAGCCTTTAAGGGGCCTGGGACTCTTTCTGTCATGTGGGTGGGACTTCAGAGCATAGACATCCTACAGCTCACTGTATGTGGCTAATTATGCACCTTTGCTGTTGCTCCAGATGTGAGCTGTCTGAGAGCTTCCTCCCTGTTTGCCTATAAAATTCTCCAGATCAAGGCCTGCGTGTAATCAGACTTCTGCAAAGGCCCACGGCCTGAGTATGGTGGGAGTTGAAAGGAAGAAGAGATAGGTGAAATACAGAGCACTCACTGTGCAGCAGCTCTTATCAGGTGCCATGGGGAAAATTATAGAAGAAGAGAAAGAAGAGATACAGTTCTTGCCCTTGGAAAACATAAATGCATACTTCAGAAAAAAAGGTCACCAGCATTTGCAAAGCAACACATATGAATACAGGTAAATACTGGCTCGCTGTGACAGGACGAGGTACTCACTCCTCAGGCCCATTACAAACCCAGGAAAAGGGTACTTTCAACCTGGTTCTAAAGGTACCAGAGTCACTCTGCATAACTCCAACTGTCACCCATCTGGTGGGGAGTGACAGAGCAAGGCTAAAGAGTGTTGGTTTCTTCTTGATGCAAAACTCCCTTCTGTACATAACTGTGAAGTGTCTAGCATGTGCCCAGTGTGCTTGTGGGAGTGATGGGGACTATAAGAAAAGAAGCCATGGCCAGGCTTCACACATTAACCAATGTTATTACGACACAAAAAGCAGTACATCCTTCTAGAGCCATAGGGACATGGCTATGAGGTTAAGAAGGATATATGAGTTTGGGGGAACAGAGCTCAAGAGAGACCCACAGGTATGAAAGATGTCTACAGATAAGCCAATGGACTGTGGTGAGCCAAGAGGAAACTGAAGGTGAGTCACACTGTAAGATGTGTATCCCCAAATAACACAGCACAAGGGCCTGAGCCCATGGCTAGAGTGAGGACTGCTGTGGCCAGCCCTGCCTCCTGCTCTTCCTCCTCCTCCTCCTCTTCTTTTGGGCTGGCTCTCTAGAACAAGCTTCAGTTTCAGACTAATGACTTTCAAACTATTTCTTCAAGAGAATCTCTAAGTCAGGTGTGATGGCTCAAGCCTATAATCCTAGCTCTAAGAGGATCGTGGTTCAAGTCTTGCCAGGGAAAAAGTTCATAAGAACCTATCTCAAGCAATAGCTAGACACAGTGGCAAGAGCCTGTCACCTCAGCTACATAGAGAAGCACAAAATAGGAGGATTGCAGTCTAGGATGGCCTGGGCATAAAGTGAGACCCTATCTCAAAAACAATCAACACAAAAATTGCTGGTGGAGTGCCAGGGCCAGCATGCGCAGGCCCTGAGTACTACCAAAAAAAAAAAATATATATATATATATAAAATCTAGGGGAAAGTATATTGTGATGCATAAATTTATTTTAGAAAGCTAAAATGATTACAAGTATTTATCACACTGTTAGTGTAATTGCCAGCTTATTTCTGTAATAAAGTACAGTACTCTCCCCGCATTCCGGTTTCCGCCCTGCAGAGGAATCCATACCTCAGCTCAAGCTCATGGCTCTGTGTCTCGCAGTGCAGCCCTTCCCTGTGGGAGACTTGACTTTCCTCCCTGGCCCTACCAGCCCTGGCCGTGTAACTTGCTCTGGCAGGTGCAGCAGGACTGACGAAGCCAGGTTTGAACAAACACTTCAAGAACCACTGCCTGGTTTCATCACCTCACCTGCTATTTTCTCTCCGACATGAAAACCTTAAGCACCAGAAAAGGGCTGATCCTTCTGTATGGGACCCTGATGACCAAGGACATAAAACAGAGCTGAAGGTAATCCAGAGCTAGCACGTCCCCTGAACAGGGAAATAATTTGCTGTTATGAGTCACTGGTGTTGGGAGATCATTTGTTACTACAGCATAACTTAGCAAGAGCTGACAAACAGAACAGCTGACCTGCTACTCCACCATGAAGTACTTTATAGCAGGATGTCTTAGTCATTGTCATACCCCTGACATGATGGAACATAGTAGGTATTTAATAAATCGCTGTGGAATAAAGGCAGGAAGAAGGGTTAGCAGTGTTCACTGTGCTGTCCTAAACCTCTGTTCTGCCTACCAGGAGTTTTCCAACATGCCTGCACTCCAAAGAAGACAGGTGCCAGAGCTCCTGCTTTCCATCTTCAAGCTGTTCATCCTGCCCCACCTATTACCCATATCTGCTCTGAGTCCTCTCTTTGAGCTCCATACCCAATGCTCTGCCTCTTGGCCTCCCTGTTTGCCCCTGGCTGCTGCTAGAGTCAGAGCCTAGTATACCAGCCTCCCAGATGTCATCTGTTCCCTGTATGACCCTGCCCTGACCAGCAGCCCCTTCAATATCCCTCCCTATAACCCAGCTACCACAGCTAGGCTGCTGCATCCTTCCCCTGCATGGTCCCTGGCTGTAGTCTATGGAGGCAGAAGCCTCTCCCTGATTCCAGACAGGGGCCACCAGAGAGAACAGCACTTATCTCCAATCAAATCCAAGTCAAATCCAAGTTCCAAGGGCACCTATCTGTGCTTTTATTTTCTGGGACAATTTGTGGCATTTAAGTGAAGCTCAAATGGTTATAACTCCATCCTTTGACAAACTCAAACAGGCTATTTAGAGATACATGCATAGCTGGTAAAAACTCCTCTAAAACTTAAAATGGGGGGAGGATGACAAAACCATCAAGATGGGATCACTTCCCCAGGGGAGACAGAAGGCCAGGCATACAAGAGCCTACAAGAAGCATTGCAAACATGAGCAATGTTTTATTTCACAGGGTGTCTATTTGATTCTGAGGCTTTTGCTTTGTAACTGGTCTTGACAACTTCTATAAATAATGCAAATACATTTATGCATCAAACACTTTGTGATGCAATAGAAACAGACTTGTCTGGAGGTGGGCCAAACTAGAAGCACACCTCCCCCAGGAAATCTGAGCCCATATGTGAGACCTCTGGGAATGGTGGAGGTGACGAAGCTCTCAACCCAAGTCCTGAACCACTGGTGGGCAGAGGTGTCCCAAAGTCCTGCGACTCAGGCATCTCACAACTATCTCCTTCCTCTGGCTCTCCTCTCAAACTCCCCCCTTGAAGTTACTGCCCCTGGCACTTGCATCCTCCTCTCTCCTCCAGGGTCTTGCTGGGGCAGAGCAGACACAGAAGTTGAAAGATGAACTCCACCCCAGCTTTATACAAGGGAGCCAGCTGACTCTCAAAGCCCAGCCTGTGAAGCAGGCTGTCCAATGAGAGCAGTACCTTAATACCAAGTAGAGACATCTAGCTCTCTCTGCCGAGCTGCAAGTCACAGAGGCTCAGGTGGAGGGAATGCACAGACCTGGTGATCCACTGCAAACACATGCCCTGGTCTGAATGCCCACCAATCCTGCAAATGCAAGGCAGGTGTGTTATTCCCTGAACACAGGCCTGCTAAGGCAACAGGCACTAAGAGGAAGAGGGGCACTAAGAGGAAGAGAGGAGGTCATGGCGCCTTTCCACTGCAGCTGTCCTGCCCCTTGCTAGGAATAGGTGCATGGTCTCAGAGATGCTGGGCTCCCACCAATCGAGATAAACACAGCCTTGATTATATATGATTTTTATTTGTCAATTATCCATCTCTCAATCAAGCTGGAACAACAACAAATAAAGATGTACAGCCTTCCTCGAGAAAGACATAGCAGGGAACAGAGAGCAAGAGAGTGAAAGGATTTTCCTAAGGCAAGGCTTGGTGGCCCATGTCTATAATCCTGGCACATGGAAGGTTGAAGGAGGAGAATCAGGAGTTTGAGACCAGTTTGGTATACATAGCAATTTCTGGGCCAGCCTGGGCTACAAAGCAATATCATTGTCTCAAAAGCAAACTAACAAAAGAATTCTCACAGGGAGCTGTGAGGAGGAAGAAGTACCCTCCCAGGACACCAGAGCATCACTGGCTCCCTCCTGACTTTGAGACGGAAGGACAGGGGTACAGAACTTTCTCTCTTGCAGTGTGCTCAAAGCAGGAGCTGAGAGGTGGTGAAATTACGGATGGTGATTGCTTTGTAGGAAGGACTTGCTCAGCTAGCTTTCTTTCTTCTGCTCGCTCCACACCTGCCCTGTAGGCAGGCAGAGCACTGCAGAGTTCTGAGGTGA